CACCAACAAACCCCTAAAAATGAACCATGTAGTCTCTGAAATGACGGCCCTGGCAGAGAGGTTAATTAGCAGAGCTTTAGGATCTGACTAAAAAGCTCACTCAAGATGTGGCATAAGAGATAGCAGATGAAAAATGAGGATTTAGGAGAGCAAGAGGAAAGGAGGAAAGGGCTCAACGCACTGGAGCACTAATGGGAGAGAGCTGAGGGAATGGGAGGAAGGAGACTGTCGAGGAGGCATGGTTGAAAGCATCCAGAACTGCTGAAGAGCACGGGTCCTTACCTTGAAGACGTGTGCCTCTGAGAATCAAATGGTATAAATAAAAATAAATCCAGGGCTGGAGGGTTGGCACAGTGGTTAAGAATATGTACTGCTCTTCTAGAGCACCCAAGTTTAATTCCCAGAACCCATATAGAGCAGCCCACAACTGCCTTATAACTCCAGCTCCAAGGGATCTGACACCCTCTTCTGGTCTCTATTGTGGCACCTGCACGTACATACCTCTTAACCTGCACTTACCTTCACACACACACACACACACACACACACACACACAAATAAAACAAATCTTTAAAACATTCCAAATTCAGATACCTCTTTGTATGTGATCATTACATTCATAAAATCCAGAGCATAGGGACCATCCTTGGAAGGACTGAAACTCAGTGTAACCACAGCTAAGCCCCATTCAAGACTTGGGTTTCCAGATTGAAAAATCTCAAGATGGGGGCTTACTCAGAAATCCTCCAGAAAGAACTAGTAAAGCTCCTTCAAGAAATCTAAAGATGTAACACAACTGGCAGAGGGCTTGCTTAGCACACACAAAACCCCGGGTTCAACCCCCACTACCACATAAACAGGCACAGCAGTGCACACTTGCCATCCCAGCATCAGATCTTTCAAGAAGAAAGGAGAACCCGGAAGGAGAGTAAGCAAAAGGTTAATGAGCAGGTTGCTTCAAGAACATACGAGTTAGAAAAAGTAAGCTGGGGGTGTTGCTCAGCGGTGGAGCACCAGCTTGCACCAAGTTCAATCCCTACTACTAAAACAAAGTCCAGGAGCAGTAATAAAACAGAGGTACCCAAGTCACAGCACAAGGCATCCTATGAGACTGATGAGCTTTAGTGTTGCTCCCTGAATGTTCCTGGTTCTCTGCCTTCAAGACCAGCCAGAGCCCATTTCTCTGTGTCCTGGTATCCCTCAATATTCCAGAAAGTGGCTATACCACCAGCAGGATGCTGGCAAAAAGCAGGCCTCAGAGAGTCTAGGTAGGCAGAAGACACAAACAAAATGTTATTGTTTGAAGCCACTGGGGCTTGGGTGCTGTTTGTTACTGCAGCATAACTCAGTCCGCTCATTCTGATGCCAGGCTAGTATTTTCAAAGAGCAGAGCTTCCTGCAAATGCCTCAGACCCCCATTTAGGTGACAGTCTGCTCTGCAGAGACATAAAAGCAACTCCACACAGAGGTAGAGATGCCCAGACCTGTTTCAAGTGGAGGAAGAAAGACATTTGTGCCTTGTGATCTTCAGGAAATCTTTGATTTTTGGTGGCTGAGGGGGAGACTCAGCTGTGCCTGCATACCATGGGGACGGAGAGGGTGTGAGCTGGCATGGGAGGGGTGGGCAGCTCTGGTGCAATGCTCCAGACTCAGATGGCTCTTTCTGGGCAGAGGATGTGGTACAAAGGGTAGAAAAACAGTTGCCTTACATCTATACTGAGTTTTCTGCTTTCCTGAACACACAGTCACCATGACTTCTCTTCCTCCTTCCATGCACAGGAAGGCCCAGAGAGGCCGAAGAACTTGCTCAAGATTGCATGCCAAGTTAGCAAGTTAGAATTTACCACTGCTTTCTCTCCCAGACTACTGTGAGAATCAGGGTTCTAGGAAGGTTTGTGGAGAGACAGTGATTGCCCCTGCCCCTGCCCAGGGCACTGACCATGGCCTGCATAGGGCTGTCCTCAGACTCATGGCATCAGATGGGCTCTGACCAGGTTCTGAGGAAACTAAAGATGCTCTGGCCCTGAGGATGGGAAGGAGGAAGGCAGGGGCTGCTGGGTACCAGGGCGACAAGCTTTTCACCTGGCATCCAGGGGCTCAGGGTATAAGTCTACAGCATGTCACAACCAAGTCTCCTTCTCCTAAGTTCCCCCAACCTGAAGTCTACATTCCTTCATGGACAGATGACAAAGCCTGTGCAGAGCTGGCTGCTCCCGCCTCCCACCATGAGCAGGAAGAAGAGGCTGCTGGCAGGGCTAACACCCACTGGCTGCAGCCTGAAGTCCCTTCAACATTCATATGCTATAGTCCTGACCCCCAGCTCCTCGAAACAACCTTAGTTGAAGATGGGGTCTTATAGAGGTAATGACTTTAAAGTCCATTTTAAAATGGAGTCATTTAGGTGGGACCTAATCCAATGACACGTTCTTATAAAAAGAGAAAGTCTGGAAGCACACACACGCACCACCACCACCACCACTACAAGAAAGGACATGGAAGGAGGACATCTTGGCCTCAGTCTCTCTGGTGGGTCCACCTACCCTTTTGCTGCCCCTGCTGATTGCTGTGCTGATATTAGAACCAGCTTCTTGGGGTTCCAATGTGAACTGAAGACCAGCAGTTCTCCAGAATCCCCCAGGCTTTCAGTACCAGATCAGGCTGAGAAACTGCCAGGTTCTCCAGTGTGAGGCAGTCATTATTGGACTATTCTGACTGTAAGCCAATCTAATAAAGTCTCTTCTAATGTATATTCATTCTATGGGTTCCATTCTTTTAGAGAATCCTGAACCCCCACCCCCTTGAGCAATTAAAGTCAAAGCCATGACTGGAAAAAATAAAGCACATTATGAGGAACCAAAACCAAAGGGAAGTGACATTTCCAAAGTCCTTCCTCTGTGTCCAAGCTTGCACCCGGTACTGGCCTCATTTCACAGATTTGGAATCTGAGATACAGAAAAATAAAGTCTTGTATAGGGTCATGAAGCAAGAACCATTCTGTCTGGCCTGCCCAAGAGCACAGCCTCTGGAGACAGCCTGGCTCAAGCCCAAGTCCTCCCATATTCTGGTTGTATGATCTTAGCCAAGTAATTTCATTCCTCTGTGACTCATTTTCCCCATCTGCAAAATGAAAGAAACAAGGATACCTATCTCACAGGGCTGTAGAGGAGAGCTGTGTCAACAGTGGGATATGGTCAGAATGGTGCCTGGCATGTGCTGGGTACTGGGCTCAGTGGTGAAAAAGAGGAGGAAGCCAGGGGCAGCAGAGTGAGATTCAAACCCAGGCCTGCATGTCTCTGTGCCACCGCTGACACAATGACCTATCTCACTAAAATGCTACTGTCCCTTCCTAGGCAAAGCCTTCAGTCCTGAAATTGGCTTGCTGGGGAGCAGCCTGTAGCCACCAGCCAGGCAGGCAATGTGCAGTTACATAAGGAACAGGATGGGAGGTTACCAGCCGCCCTTCCCAGTCAATGAGATGGAGCCTCTGCAATCGGGACAGTAGCACTTCTGCCAGGTCATCACTTTTCAAGAATCAGTATCTGCTCCTGGGAATTGGAGGCCACGCGCTCCTCTGTTCTGGAGTCTCACACTGATGCCAGTCTTCTAGATAATGTCCTGAGTCCATCAGCATGCCCACTCTGGGATGATATGCACATCAGCCTACTCAGGTTCACTGAGCTCAGATCCTGCCTGGCTTGCTCTCTTCTGTGTGGTTAGCCTTACTGCTCAGTTTGCTTCCACCTGCATAACCCCGGAGTCCCCTACCCCAGGCGCGGTGCCAGCCAAGGCCTCTTCCTAGCTCAGTCCTCAGCCCTGCTCTTGGGAAACAGCCTTGGGGCTATGGTTAGGATGCCTTTCACTGTATTTTCACTGCAACAGCATCGCTATTGAGTCCGTTTGCTTGGAGCATTTTCCACTGATCCTGTAACCCAATTAGAATTGAGTTTCTCTAGCATGAGAGACAATGTAACCCCAGGAAGAGGCCTGTCAAGTCATCCCAACTCCAGCACACCCACCCTGCCAGAGTTCTTTCTGGGGCTTCCTCTACATCCCCCACAATCCCCAGCGCACAGGAAAATACTAACAAGGCGCATCACTCAGCAAATGAAGAGAAGGAGCTTTGGGAGTGGGTTCCCTTCACAGTCATTTGAAGAGGGCCTCCGAGTTTCCCTGAAAATCCTGTAGTTAAAAAGACTTCCAAATACCTGAAGAATTCCCCACGGTTCCATTCTACTGATCAGATGTGAGTACAGAGTCAGTCATCAGCCCAGGAAAGTGAAGAGGTTAGCCCAAAACCACATGGTGAGCAGATGGGACCAGAGCTGTTGCTCCCAGGTGCCCCCCCCACCAGGGGCCTGTAGCCACCAACAACTTAGCTCTTGTTTTCCTAGAGTACCCTACACCTCCCATTTTCTAAGCAGCTATAAGCAAACAGGGAATAGAGTAGTGTTTGTCCTTTATCACCCCTATTTTTGGAAGTCCCTCTAACCTTCTAGAACCACTCTTCATGGTCTGACCTACCCTGACCATCTCCCTCATCAAGGCTGTGGTTTTGCCATCCAACCATGCAGGCTACCTGCCTTTTGCCTCCCTCTCCTGCTTCCATCCATTGAACTCTCCCTCTCATTCATCATTTCCCTCCCTCCAGTAAAGCTCTTCTAAGCAGCTGGACAGCTTAGCCCAGACCCAGGCACTCAGAACTCCTTCCATTTGCTCCTTTCACAGTGCCCACTCCAGAAGGATCCAAAGCTCCACTACCCCCATCAGAATCTAAAACTATCTGCTTCCATCCACCCTGGTGATAGTGGGAGGTTGGTATATCTAAGACCAAATACTGCTAATGTGTTTGCACTAAAGCCAGAATCCCCTTTAAGCACAGGCAACAACTAAGGACTTCCAAAGCCCTGGGGTGGGTTGAGGCCTGCTGCCCAGGAACCCTGGATGGCCCTGGTTCCTTCTTGCCTTCCCTCCCCTCCATTTCCACCAAGGCCCCTACTTACGAATGCAGAAGTTTCCATTCTCGTAGTAACCGGGGCAGCACTGAGACCTCCGCCTGTACATGGTCCGTAGGCCACGCCGATATGCCGTCTTATAGCTGATCCTAGACACCAGGGAGAGAGCCACTTGAAAGGATTGAAAATCAATCAGTCCCGTTTAGAATGATATTTGTGTTAAGCTCTATCGAGGATGCCATTCAATAATTACTTTAAAATGCATGGCGGCTTCAAATATGAAGGAACGCAATAAAGAAAAATCAATGGTGGAACGCAGGACACTGTGGTGCGGAATGTATTACCCACGCTGTGCTGGCAAAACCTGCTGACTTCCCAATCTCTTCCAAATACTAGGGCTGTCAAGATAGCTACTGGGGTGACATTGTGGAAGGCTACTGGGGGCTTCCCCTCGGGTCTTTAAAACCACCACATTCTGGACTGAATAAGAGGTTCTGGGCTCTGGGGATCTGGACAGAAGTGGGGTCCTGAAAACTTTACTGCCCACTACCACTTTTTCTCCTCGGGCACTAGCCTGTTGTGTTGAACTATGGCAAGAGAGACAGCAAAGGGACTCCCTGGGTCTGACTGTGGCGTCACAGTTGAACTTCCTCACGCCTTCTGTAGAGGGTGTGCTACTCCCTGGGAAGCTCTAACTCCACCCCTAGGCTGTAGAGAAAGAAACTAGCATCCTGGTGGGCACTGGGAGCCAAAGAGAGTCCTGGGTTCTAGTCCTTATAAAGACACAATTTTTGAGACTCGGTTCTGTGCTAGAGATTTATAAGTAAGATTTTCCCAGCAGTCATCTGAGACAGGGACCATCATCACACCCTGTTAATTTCATTTCATTTATTTCTCTTTTAGAATTTTTATCCTTATTTTATGTTCTCTCCTACCCACCACCCTTTGTTTTATGGATGAGAAAACTGATATTCAGAGAGGTTAATGACTTGCTTGCAGTCACACAGCTAATAAATGTCAGGGTCAGACAAAAAACAGAAATGGGGGGCACTATGAGCAAATTATATTACACTCATATGAAAATGTCACAACAAGGCCCATTATTTTTGTATAATTCATATAGACTAATAAGAAATAGATCTATCCCAAGAACAAAACTGTCAGGAGCAAGATTCAAACCCAGCTCACTTGAATTGCAAAGCCACCAGACTTCCCCTAACACTTGGTACCACTTCTCCCTGGTGGCAGAACATCACTGAAAAGAGAGGAGATGGTGTGAGAACTGAGTCTTTAGGAGGGAGTGGCAAAGGGATACTAATAGGAAAAGCCCTTTGTCACAAACAGTCCCAGTACAGCAGATTTGAAATGCCCATGAGAGATGGGGTGAGGAAATGACAAGGGGTTTGAAAGACTTCTTTCCACTTCCCCATCACACCTGGGGTGGGGGTACCCTGGGTTTCCCCCTCTGCAGAGAGCAGCAGGGCTGAGGTCCCTCAGCTTGCTTTCCACAGAGGCCCAGGCCAGCCCCATTCTTCCAGCTCCAGCCTGGACAACCCTCCCAGCCTTTAAAATTCTCACCTCATGACAAACGACAATGTGAGCCTCTTGGGAAATCTGTGATATTTGGAAATGTATTAAGCTAAGGTCATTTTACTTTGTCAAAAGCCAGTAATGGGTAAGCTGGCCTCGAAGGAAGCTACTTCCAGGGACAGGGGGGTGGGGGGGAGTTGTTGAGAGGGCTGTGCAAACCTCTCAGATAAAGAATGACTCAGAGTTGGCACAGAGGTCACTGGGCCATTCTCCCCACCACATGGGATGATCCCCAAGTTCTCCAACGGGGAAGTGGCCTCTGCAGCACTGCATCCTCTTCAGAGGGAGGTCACCGCTGCTCCTGGCTTCCCCATCAGGACAGATAAGACCCAGGGCCAGGCTGCTCTTAGGAGGATGCCAAACCAAGCTATTGCACCTACAGCAGACTGATGGTGCCGCTGTCAGCATGCACACTCCGCGTCATCAGGAAAGCTGCACAGAGACTCAATAATTTGACAAAATCATCATGTTCCAGGAGCACAAGTCTATTTTAATAAGCAGCTGCTTACTCACCCAGCTCCAGGGGTGATGGACAGCAGCTGTAGCCTCCTGGGACAACAGAGCCACACCTCAGAGCAAACTCAGGGCTGGCTCAGAAATGCCAGGGCTCCAGGCGGGACCAGCGCACTACTGCCACCTCTGCCTCTGGCTAGGGCCTCAGGCAGGCAACTCTAACAAACCCCAGAAAGGTCAAAGGGAGCATCCAGCAGCCAGTGCAGGGTGTGCTACCACTAAGTGACTACTGGGCACAACTTGGGCTTCATTCACTAGGAAAAATGAGGTGCAGAACATACCTCAAAGTTGTACCCATCCCTCCTGGTGAGGAAGCTGGGGTGCTAATCTGACAATTTTTTATATGCTGCTGACTAAAGGTGCCCCAAGCTCATTAAGTCCAGCACTTCCAGTTGGCCCTGCCCACAAGCTCCTTGGACTAGATGGAAGCAGCTGACAGAGTGTCTTGGACCATCAGCATTAGAGAATACAGCAGGCATGCAGTCTGGGCAGTGCCTGCAGCACCTGCCCCACATGTCTCTCACAAGCTTGCACTAAGCAAACCGGAGAGCCAGGCACCTTCCTTCTACCCATCCTCTGAGAGATACTTACCGGTGTCGGGTGCATTTGAACCAGTTGAGGATATCTGTGCATCGGGTGTAGTAGATTTGATCGAAGGGGTGTGCATATGACTCCTGCACAGTCACCGCATAGCTGAGGACCAGACAAGAGATAGAAGCAGTGGTCAGTACTGCAGAGGCTGAGTCCATGGCCAGGATATGCCTCCCTTCCTAGCCCACAGCTCTGAGGCCAGCCTCCAGCTCTGAGCTCCCCCCTAGCTCCCAGCCTCCTTCCCCATATCGCAACAATAACCCCAGGTCACATCTGTAATGGGTAATGTTGTCAACTTGACAGAATATAGAATTCAACTGGGGGACAAGCTTCTGGGCACTCATAGAGAGAACACATTTTCTTGACTGGGTTAACTGAGATGGGAAATCCTACCCACTGTGGGTGGTACCATTCTCTGAACTAGGATCCTGGACTATACAAAAAAGAGAAAGTGATGCTGGGCACAGTGGCTCACACCTTTAATCCCAGCACTCAGGAGGCAAAGACAGGCAGATCTCTGTGAGACAGAGGCCAGACTGAGCTACATAGTAAGTTCTAGACCAGCTGGGGCCTGCCTCCAAAAAAAGGAGAAAGTCAGCAGAGCATGCATTCATCACTCTGCTTCTTGACTGTGGACTGACCGTGACTAGCTCCTGATGCTGTGACTTCCCCACCATGACAGACTATGACCTGGAACTGTGAGACAAACCCTTTCTCCCTTAAGCTGCTTTTGTTAGAGTATTTTTGTTTGTTTGTTTAGTACCAATTTTATTTGTAACTAACATACAAATCGTTTATCTATAAAATAATAACATCTACTCACTAATTCACAAATATGTCACAAAATCAAAATCCTTCCCAAGGAAATATCATTGTAAGCCAAGATATTACTAATATTCAGCCTAAGCTTTAACTCAAGGCCGTTGAGAATGACAAATCTGAGAATTTGTCTTTTATGCACCTTATTGTACAGATGAATAATCTGGTTGACATAAGCATTGCTAAGTTTCTACCTTACAGAACAAAAAGCTATCAACAGAAATTAATGATGAAGAAAAAGTTGGCCCCCAAACACCAAGAATTGTCAGGGTATTTTATCACAGCAACAGGAAACGAAACTAGAACAACATCCTTAATGACCTTTGATCCAGATAGTTTTAGGAACTCTTACTTGATTTATCAGATAATAGGTAGAGGAAGGTTTAGGTTTGTTCTGTGTGGTTCTAGAAGGCAGATTCAACAAGTTCAAAATACTTTATGTTATCCAGGTACATTGGTACGTGCCTGTAGTCTTAGAGACAGAAGCAAGATCTCTTGAACCTGGATACTCAAGGACAACCTGGACAACATAGGAAGACCCACTCTAATAAATAATAACAGCAACACTTTTGTACACATTTCTATGGTCTTTAAGGAAGCAGATATGGAAGCTCCTCTTTGAAGTAACTTTGAAATAAATAGCCCCATTTTACAGATTAAGAAAGTGAGGCTAAGAAAGGCACCTTGCCTAGCCGTATAGCTGGCATCAACAATTGCCGATATTTATTGAATATCTTACATTAAGTGTTCTAATTCCTTTTCATTTCCAATCTCTATGTCTATTTGTGTGCAGGTGCAAGTGTGTGTGTGTGTGTGTGTGTGTGTGTGTGTGTGTGTGTGTGTAGGTTTTAGATCTCCTTTTGGAGTGTGTGTGTCTGTGTGTCTGTGTGTCTGTGTGTGTGTACATGTGTGGAAGCCAGAGGACAATTTTAGTTGTCCTTCCTCAGGTGCCTTCCACCTTGTTTTATGAAACAGGTTTCTTATTGGCCTGAAACTCACTGAGGAGGCTAGCCGAGCCCAAAGATCTGCCTATCTCTACCTCTCCTGTGCTGGAATTACAAGCACTTATCACTATGCCCAGGTTTTTGTTTGTTTTTGTTTGTTTGTTTTTTAATGCGGGATATAGGAGATCAAGCTTAGGTCTTCATGCTCACCAGGCAGGCACTAAACTGACAGAACTATCACCCCAGCCTCTTCCCAGATAATCTTACAAAGTACATAGAATGGTTAATCTCACTTTACAAACAAGGAAACCATATCAGACAGCCTAAATGATTTCCCCAAGTTACCCCAGTGACCTTTTTAGTCTACTCTGTCTCTGGTGTAGTTGGAGGTTACCTGGAGGATGTATCCCCAGACCGCCCTGCAGAAGCAGTAATTGTCATTTTCCCTATCAGCTGTAACCTGGACCAGTAAGTGAAAGCCACGGGGAAGCACATTCGAGGTTCACCAGAGCAAGCCTTTCTCCTGCCACCCTGGCGAGGTGTGTGAGGTTACACTGCTGATGCCTGGTTGCTGACGCATGGCATGCACCTCCTGGGCAGGCTGGAATTAATTGTCATGTAGGCTGATATTATTCCATGTTTTCCCTAGAAGGCTCACTGACCTGGGCCAGATGGCCAGGCACAGGCTGTAAAAGCCCATCTGCTTTGCCTGAGGAAACTGTTGGTTCATTTGCAAGGGAGGGCTGGGTGCTGCAGGGCCACAGCGGGCCCCCTGCTGCCTGCAAGGTCAAAGGTCTGGAGTCCTACAGGAAGCCAGGAGTGGTCAGCAGTGCTCAGAGACTCAGGCAAGTACGGGTTCTGTCTGACACATCAAGGGTGGTACGGAGGTCTCTGAGTGTGTCCATCCAGCTGGCACCTGGGAGATGTGCCCCAGACATGCAAGTCTATGGCGACATGACCCAAACCCCTGCTGATCTCCAGGAAAGCAGAGGCTGGTCAGTCCACTTTGGCTTCCCAGAAGTCTTCAGCTGAAATTCTACAGCTTCCTGCCACATCTCCCAAGGAAGGGGAATGAATGGGTCAGTGTATCTGGGCTCTCGAACTCAAAAACACAAGGCCAAGTATGGAGCCTGTCATTCACTATAAGCCTGCATGTCTTCACCTGAAAATCTATGACAGATCTAAGGGACTCCATAGATGACTGTGAGGATTAAAGGGCAGCCACTGTAGTACATACCTTTCAGAGTGTGGGAAGGGAAAACAAAAATTGTAAGTGCTTGATAGGTACAAGTAAGTACTTAATAGATGCTGGCCCCCATTACTATGACAGGCAATGATTTACCTCCTGTGCTAGGCATGGAAAGATACATCCTCCCCACCATGGTGGGGGAGAGCACAAGACCTGCTTACAGGTGGACTCCCAACCTTTGTTAAGCCCTTAGGGGTTCAGCCTCCTATTCCAGTGCTGATGGAAGCAAAGAAACCAGTCCCATAGGTTGGGGCAGGGGGAACATGGGGGGATGTCAGAGGGTTGGACTCAGCTCTGCAGGATACCCTAGGCACAGTGAATCCAGCTAGGGGACCTTGTACCTACGCCAAGTCTCCAACCTGAAGCGTGTGCCCTGGTTTCACGGCTGGGTGGTTTAATGCTGCTCACTTGCCAAGATGTTAACAAGGGGCTGATCCATCTTGTAATGCCAGGCTTTGCTAGTCAGGGGAGGCCTCTGCATTGGGTTTTATGGTGGAGGAACATAATTAATGAGGAGCCTCCCGAAGTGCTAATTCAGCTGGGAAAGTCTCCCTAAGTACTCTCTGAGGACCAGGGTTGTGTTCCTGGAATGGCATAGGCTAGATCCATCCATACACAACTAGCAGGGGAGATCAGCTGCAAAAGCTGAGAAGGAAGTACATTATTGTCAGCAGGCATCACTGAAGACCTCCTCCCTGGGGAGGGGGAGCCCTGGGTTTCACTGTTGGGTGGCTCCCTGTCCTCCCATCCAGGCTGTGAGTGAGAGAGTGCCAGCTACCAAAAGTCTGGCTCACTGCCAATGTTTTCACATTCTAAATTTGTGCCTGTTGGGTAAGTTAGATGATTAGAGTTTAGTTTTAAGTTTGAACAGATTCATTATGGGTCCTTCCATCAGGGGTGGCTCTCTGTAATAGAGATGGGGTCTGTATTAGTTACTTTTCTGTTGCTATAATAAAATACCATGACCAAGGCAACTTACAGAAAAAAGAGTTTATTTGGCTTATGGTTCCAGAGAGTGCATCCATCATGGCAGGGGAGGCATTGAGGCAGGTGGTGGCTGGAGCAGAAAGCTGAGAGCCCACATTGTAAAGCAGACACAGAAAGCAGAGCACACCAGACTAGAAGTGGGCATGACTATATGCTCTCAAAGCCCACCCCCAGGGATGTGCTTCCTCCAACATGGTCCCATTTTCTAAAGGCTCCATGACCTTCCCTAAACAGCACTACCAACCAGAGACCACATGTCCAAATACATGGAGTCTACAGGGGACATTCTCATTCAAATCACCACAGACCTAGACTGGAGTACTGGAAGATGGCATAGGAGATCAGAGGGGCAGCAGGAATCCTAGAGCCCAGCCAGGGCAAAAGGTATCATATCTTGCCTGGGAAGATAATAGACAGGCTTATCTGAGGGAGAAGGCCCCCAAAACAGAGACTAACAGGGAGTTCTATCTATCAGTGAGACCTTTGTGAACCCTGAAAAACTAAGGCTTAGATTCTCCACCCAGTAGGAGAAGGGGCCTAAGGAAGCTCAGGATCATAAGAAAGAGTGAAAGATGCAAGACTGAATCTGAGGCCCTGGGCTGGGCTCTGGAGACTGCTTTCCTGCACCCCAATAAGTCTAATGTGCACCACAGTCTGTGCTAACCATTCCTGAGCCAGAGTTGCCAATAGGAAAAGACAATTGTTGGCAACATGCTTTTGTGAAACTGGTGCCCTCACTCCTCCAACAAGCCTATGAGGCAAAGATGACTATTCTCTTCACACTATGCAGCCATCAGTACACTCAGAGCTGTTCAGAGACTTCTGCAAAGGGGCACTGGCTAGCAGGCAGAAAAATCCAGACTGGGACACCCAAAGGTCTTCTTGCCGCAGGACATTACAGAAATGCCTTTTGCTCCAGCCTGGACACCGCCACCACTCTACATAGGATATCCAGCCACCAGACAACACACTGGAACAGGTACTGTCCCTCTGCCTCCAGCCAGCCCTCCTGGCCATCAAGTGTCCAGGCCACCCCAGCCCAGAGTTTTGCTCCAGTGAGATGCTTTGCTCTGCCCTAGGGCCAGCCATCCACCCTCTTGGGTCCAACTAGCCTTTGGTCCTCCACCATTTACTTCCCCCATCAGGCCTTCATCTTAATTTTATTCATTTGATTTATTAGCATTTAAGTGGCAGAGTCCTCCTGGTCAGCATGGCCAATCAATTCTAGGGTTTAATTTGGTTTTTCCTGATTGGGTCTCTGGTCACTGTCTTTTTGCTCACCAAAATCAATACTTTAACCTTGTGCTTCAAAGTCAGACCGTCTGCAGGGACCCAGCACAGTCTCCAAGACTTAGTGCTGCAACCAGTATGTGGCAGCCTCCTCTGCTATGGTCCTGGCCACCCTGTCCCAGGCAGCACCCTGCCGCCACCAGACTGAAAGAAGTAGGGGCCTCCCCCTCTTCCCTAGGGCAGGCCACCAGTCACTCATCTAGTTTTCCATTGCTGCCAGTACTGGGAATTTATGACAGCATCCCCCCACTCTGGGCAAGTCTGTGAAGGAGTTTCTTGATTAGGTTAACTGAGTTGAGAAGACCCAGCATAAATGTGGGCAACATCATTCCCCGCATATTCCCTGCCTCATATGAGCTCCAGTCTCCATACCTTCCCTGTCATGATAGACTCTACCTCCAAACTGGGGGCCGAAAAATCCTTCCTCCCCTGAGTTGCCTCTGTCAGTTATTTTATCACAGCAATAAGAAAAGTAACTCATACAGGATGGGAAGTGCAAAAGGCACAGAGGGGCAGGATAACCCAACAGGTAGCTAACCTCCCACAGCTCTGGGTCTTGGGAATATACACTGCTCCACCCTGTCCTTCAGTCTACCATGTCCCACTCTACTCGGGTCTCAGGCCCTCCATTACTAGCTGCTGCCTCTTCTGACTCCTCTTTTGTCCCTATGACCCCATGTCCAGGGTAAGCAACTCTCCCCACCCTGGGAATGCCAGCTCTGAGTCTCACACCTTACCTCTCCCAGTGACTACACACGTTGGGGTCCTCAGGGTTCAAAGTGAGGGCAACTTGCAGAAGGGAGACAACCAGGAGGCTCACCACAGATGGTGCCATCAGGCCCTGTAGGGGAGAACAAAGAAAGCAGGGCCTTACTCAGACCTTGCAGCCTGGCATCTGTTTGGTGCTAAGATTTGTCCCTTGAAGTAGCACAACAGGTGTAAGCAGTCTAAGTTTCCCACCACCACCACATAGTAACAAGCACTAGGTATTTCACATGGGCATTCACTAATACCACAACAGCTCTGAGTAATTGTGGAGTGGGAAGTCTGAGTCAGGGAGAAATTACAATTCCCCACCAATTTCCCTGCATGACTTTAGAAAACTACTGAAAGTTGCCAATCTTCTCCCCACGAAAAATTGCCCACATACAGCAAGTTGACTAAGTTTCTCAGTGTCCTGAGCCCTACTTCCCTAGCCCATCCTTGATCCGGAAGCCTGGATCTGGCTATTAAGAGCCAGGGCCCTTCCCTCTCCCCATGTCTTGTTTCTGGCAAGGCTGGTCCATCTCTTCCCCACTCCCCAACTCCTTAACCAAGAAAGAGAAGAAAGAAAGGTCGTGATGTAGCCCACATGAGGAACTGAGCTAAGAGAGCCCTTCTGAACACTCTAGGCACCAGCCACCTGGAACACTAGACCCTCTTTCTTCCTACAAGATACCAATCCCAATGAGTCATCAAACATCATACCCATTATGGGAGGAGGGGCTGAGACAATCAGGTATAAGGCTTTAAGAAAGCAGTTTGTCTAGCCTCTAAAGTGACATTGTGTGGTAGGTCTTCAGTGTGACTACACAGTGCCAATTTTCTTGTTCTTTAAATGGGAGTTCCCCAACCCACAGCTCCATAAAGAGGACAGAAAGTGGTCCAGGAGGCAGTGGCTGAGTGTGTCCTTGCTCTCTAAGATCTTGTGGCCCTACAGCCTTAGAGAACAGCTTCTAATCTGAGGATTCCCACCTGTTGGGCCACTGAACTTAGGGACATATGGCAGTGAGGTCACCTCCAGGGGAGCTGGACCTCATAAGTCCCAATGTCCTCTGGGAATTGCCTGAACACCATGCTTCATGGAGATAGCACTATTTTTCATGTGTTCATAGCTGCTATCATGATTTATTTAAAAGCTTTTCTAAATCTAGAGTAGTTTTTCTTCTCAACAATTGACACAAAAAGAAATGTAGTTTCTATTAAGGCAGGGTTGTGAGTGTTCTAGAAAACATTTTGACATTGGAAAGCAGTTCCCAATTCTTGAAATGGTTAGGATCCCATCCACAGGCCCCAAGTTTCCAGATAGGGGCCATTTATCTTCCTTGGGGGACAGATGAGAGCGGCATGTATTCTACACACATGCCTAGGTACGCTACTCCATGAAGCGCCTTTGTTCTGGAAGGTTAAGTGCTCCTCTCCCCATCCCAGTCATTTCCTTCTTAAACTCTTTCTTAAGCAGCTCCCTCAAGGATATGCAAATTGTCTCAAATTCTCAATAACCATGGGGGTCTAAATGCATGGCTAATGAGATTTTACTTTCTGTATGTTATCTAGAAATCATCTACCTAAATGCGAGTTTAACCCAAGGTCAAGTGAATCTGTGAATTCCTTGGGAGAGAGAAGGGTGACTCTGGTGTACCTGTCTGGGTTGCCAGAGTCCAGGAAGAGAAGCTGCTCTCCTGGTCCCACTCTCTTCCATCTCCAGCCCAGGAGCAGAGACTCAACAACTGCCTTGCACAACTCGCACAGTTCCAGGGCTGCTGAGGATGTGAGCAATCCCTCCTGCCATTCTATTCTCCAGTAGAAGATTCGAATAGACTCTAGGTTGGGCCTGCCAGGACAGAGTACTGGGCAGAGTTGGAAGGGACATATACATCTTCATCCAGGGAGGTCTAGGCTGATCAGGAATCTAGGGACAGGATGAGCAATGGACACAGGGCTTGGCAAGGAAGGGAGTCTTACATACTGATGCAGAGAGCTCCTTATCCCATTCCCCATGATGGCCCTGGCTCCAACCTGTTATCCTCGGCATCCTCCCCAGGGGATCTTAGATGGCACCTTTAGACTTAGTAGGTTTTGAATATCAAAAGAGGACTACCTGGACAAGAGAAGATGGGTCCTCTGGCTCCTGTGGAGCAATGGTGACAAGAGGGTTGGTAATTTGAATCATAGCTATCATGGCATGTGCTTTAGAAATCTTCACTAAAACCTTCTTATTGAGTGAGGTCTAAACAGCCGTTCACCTGACTCCTATTGGCAGGAAGATCCCTGGGGATGGACCATGGCTGTTTGGATGAGCACACAAGAGAAGGAGATGGATGGAGCAGGAGAAGTAGCATTTAAACTAACAGTCTGAGGACTTGAACAGCAAGTCTTGATCCAAGGCCCTGCCCACCTCTGGTGAAGGATGTCCATTAAAGGAGAAGAGATGTTGCCTCTTGAACCCCTCAGCATTCAGATTCTTTCCTGGAGCCTGGCCCAATCTAACAGATGCATCCTGGGCTGTGGGTGTGGCTCAGTGATACAGCACTTGCCCAGCACATGCAAGACCGTAGGTTCGTTTCATCCCTAGCATATAATCAATCAATCCATCCATCTATCCATCCATCCATCCATCCATCAATTGAGGAGCTTGGGATATCTCAGCTTAGTGGGTAAGAGTGCTTGCTGCACAAGCATGGGGACCTGACTTTCAATTCCAACACCAGGTGTGACCTTGTGTCCAACTGTAACGTCAGCACCATGGGGGATAGAGACAGGGGGATTTCTGGGGCTTGCTAGCTGCCAGCCTAGTACAGATTCAGTGAGACCCTTACAGGAATAAGCTAGAAAGTGTTAGAGGATGGCTGATGTCCTCCTCTGATTTGTGGGTGCATCTGCCTGCATACACACATGCACATATACATACACCACACACCACACACACACACACACACACACACACACACACACACACACACCAATCAAGCAAGCAAGCAATGTTACCTCACCCTTTTTATCGGGCTGGTCTCCACTTCTGCTCCATCTCCCCCATTGCCCAGCTGTGTGTTGTTGGCAACTCTGCCCCGCCAAGCACCATCTACTACCCAGTAGGGCTGGGCAAAGGGCAGGACCACTGAAGGAGGCCCTGCTTTGCCCCAGCAGCATACACACATGCACAATGCAATTGCCCTGTCTGCCCTGCATCTTCCCAATGTACTTCCTTTATCTTTCCAGTGTGTTGTAAGCACCCAATTGTGGGGTTGAGCCCCACACTGCCCTTTCAGGAACTGATTTTAGAACTATTATCTCTCTTTGTCCCTGACACTTCACTCAAGAAGACAGAAGAGCAGCCAAAAAGTAGCTGTCACTACGTGGGAGCGGCTCTTCCCCAGTCACTTTAATGGACCCACTCAGGGGCTCTGGGAGCACAGATCCCAAAGACATATGCTTATGAGATGACCAAGGGAAAATAAATCTTGCCACCATGGTTATTAGGTGACTCCATTTGGAGTGACAGAGGTTAACGCATTGGGCACCATCTGATTCAGGGAATTAATAATTAAATAAGAAAACGTCTTCGGATCATTTCAGAGGAAGAGTCGTGTAAATATGTCAGCTGGCTTCTTCCCTCTATTCTTTCTCTCTGCATACTAAGAAGGTTTCAAAGATGGGGAACTTCCTTCCCAATTGGGGGTTGTAATAGGCACTGTACCTGGTGAACTGAGGGGCAGGAAGGTGGCCAGGTATGACTCATACCTGCCAGTGGGGTCTAGTCAGTGCATTCCCCTCGTCATGGTTTGAACTGATTAAAAGAGACCCTGCAACACCTGCCTGGACTTGGAAGTCCCAAAGAAACCACACAAGACTGAAGCCCACTGGTAGAAACCCAAAACAGCAAGTGGGGGACCTGGGAAAGACTTGTGCAATAAATGGTACTTGGGGTGAATAGAGTATAGAAAGGTGGCAGCAGATACAGCACACACTAGTGTGTGGAGACGAAGTGGCAGGTGGTGTTGGAGGAACCAGGTGACAGAGGCTCACACTACAGTGCAACAGTGACCAAATGGCCAAACGGGAAACTTTGGGAGGCATTTTCCAGCCGTGACTTCTATAGATCACTAATAAGGGATTGACAGAAAAGTCTCAGGTAAAGATTCTCAAGAGGGAATAATCTCAAGAACGCTGTGTTATATCCTTATCTGCAATAGCCACTGTGTATGAAAGCATACCTCAGACTCTAAGAGGACCCTAAGGAGAGACCTCTCTCTAGTGGCTCAGCCACCCAAGTGAGCGGAGCTCCTCGTGATCCCAGTGTGGGATACTCTGCTCCTCTTGCTCAAAGTCAACTATGGAGAGTGGCCTGGTCCTTGTCAGTCTGTGACCTCAACATTTGTACTGGTTTATTTTAATTCTTGAAACTCTTCAGGCCAGCCACCAGGTATCCTAAGAGAAACTGACCTCTGGCTGGAGATGTGACTCAGTAGAGTGTTTGTCTAGCATACACAAAGGCCTGATTTCAATCCCTGACACTGCATAAACTGGGCATGCCACTGCACTCCTATAATCCCAGCACTCAGGAAGTGGAGGTAGCAGGATCAGAAGTTCAAGGTCATCCTGAGCTACATAGTGAGTTCAAGGCTATTCTGAGATATATGAGGCTCTTAGGGGACAGAGAGAGAGAGAGAGAGAGAGAGAGAGAGAGAGAGAGAGAGAGTGAGATTGACTTTATAGCAAAGGATCCCCAGGACTCCTCTGCAGGCTGAGTAGACGTTGGCAATGTTGGCATCTTCAGGAGACCTCTGCATTCTCTTCAGTTTGGCTCTGGCTAGCACCTGTGGAGTCCAGCCTGTCCCTCTAGTGACAATCTACACCTGCCCAGGTACCAGCTGCTCCCTTAACCAACATGTATAAACTGGGGCGGAGGGTAGATAGACAAACAGATGGCCAGGGGACCAGTTGTTACAAGCTGATGGTCCATCTGTTCAAAACTCCTACCAGGCCTGCTTCCCCTCTGCTACTTGCCTTGTCCTGACACTGCTGAAATCTTGCACACTAAAGCTGGGGCCATGTACCTGAACATCCTCTCTATGCAGCCCT